AGTAAACCCATGTTGTCTCTGATCTTGAAATCCATGTGTTTTTAGATGTTCAGCAATCCTATCCTTTAACATGGTTTCCATCACTTTCCCCACTACTGAAGTAAGGCTTACTGGCCTATAGTTGCCCGACTCCTCCCTATTACCTTTCTTGTAAATGGGCACAACATTCGCTAACTTCTAATCTTCTGGGACTACTCCTGTTAACAATGATTGGTTAAATAAATCTGTTAATGGTTTTGCTAGTACACCACTAAGCTCTTTTAATAGCTTTGGGTGTATTCCATCAGGTCCCATTGACTTATTTGTCTTTACTTTTGACAGTTGAAATAGAAACTCTTCCTCTGTAATCTCACGTGTAATAAATGACTCATTTATCCCTTTTCTCAACTGAGGTCCCTTTACTTCATTTTCATCTGTAAATACAGAACAAAAATATTCATTGAGGCAGTCAGCTAGACCTTTATCCTCTTCTACATACCTTTCTTCTTTTGTTTTTAATCTAACTAATCCTTGTTTTACTTTTCTTTTCTCATTTATGTATCTAAAAAATGTTTTTCCCCCCTTTTTTACTGACTGTGCGATTTTCTCTTGTGTGTGTGATTTGGAAGCTCTTATAACTTGCTTAGCCTCTTTCTGCCTAATCTTATAGATCATTTTGTCTTCCTCACTCTGGGTTTTTTTATAATTCCTAAATGCTAACTTTTTGTTTTTAACTTTATTGGCCACATCTGTGGAGTACCACAGTGGTTTCTTGATTTTTTTGCTTTTACTGACAAGCCTAATGCAATTTTCTGTTGCCTTCAATAGTGCAACTTTTAAATAATCCCATTTCTCTTGGACTCCAGTGTGGTGTGACTGAGTCACTGTTCTTATAGACTGGTGGTAGAATTAGTGCATGGAAAGTGTTAAAATACCACCATCTGAAATACCCTAGTGTGTCTACTTTTCAAAAATATATGGTTTGATGGGGGTAAATTAAATTGTCCGGCTTCAAAAATGTCCCAAATGGGACATGGGTGCATAATGACTAACTGAAAATTCCAAGTTGGAAAACTGGAATGCGCACACTCCAAATAAGGTATTTTACCCCCCGAGAACCCAACACACCTATACATGGGTGGTATCCCTGTACTCAGGGGGTGATGCTGAACACATATTGGGGTGTTCTTTGGCAGTGACCCATAATGTTCAAAGTACATATATTCTTAAATTGCTATGTGTCTCAAAATAATCACCAATTAATATTATTTTAATTTGGCATAAATTGGTGGTAAAATGGCTGCATGAAAAGATTCAAAATACCCCAGGTTTAATACCTTAGGTTGTCTTCTTTTAAAAAATATATACATGTGAAGGGTTATTTGGGGATCCTGACCGATATTAAAGGAACACTATAGTCACCTAAATTACTTTTGCTAAATAAAGCAGTTTTAGTGTATAGATCATTCCCCTGCAATTTCACTGTCATTTAGGAGTTAAATCACTTTGTTTCTGTTTATGTAGCCCTAGCCACACCTCCCCTGGCTATGATTGATAGAGTCTGCATGAAAAAAAAAAAAAGTTATTTCACTTTCAAACAGATGTAATTTACCTTAAATAATTGTATCTCAATCTCTAAATTGAACTTTAATCGCATACAGGAGGCTCTAGATAGCTATTAACACAGCAGGGGTTAAGAAAATCTTAATTAAACAGAACTTGCAATAAAGAAAGCCTAAATAGGGCTCTCTTTACAGGAAGTGTTTATGGAAGGCTGTGCAAGTCACATGCAGGAAGGTGTGACTAGGGTTCATAAACAAAGGGATTTAACTCCTAAATGGCAGAGGATTGAGCAGTGAGACTGCAGGGGCATGTTCTATACACCAAAACTGCTTCATTAAGCTAAAGTTGTTCAGGTGACGATAGTGTCCCTTTAATTTTTAACAAAATTGGTTTGGAAATAGCAAAGTGCTACTTGTGCTTATAGCCCTATAACTTTCCAAAAAAAGCTAAGAACATGCTAACATTGGGCATTTCTAAACTCAGGAAAAAATTTAGAAACTATTTAGCACGGGTGTTTTTGGCAGTGATAGATGCGTAACAGATTTTGGGGGTCAAAGTTAGAAAAGGTGTTTTTTTTTTCATATTTTCTTTTCTAGTAAATTATATGATATGATGAAAATAATGGTATCTTTAGAAAGACCATTTAATGGTGAGAAAAACAGTATATAATATGTGTGGGTACAGTAAATGAGTAAGAGGAAAATTACAGCTAAACACAAACACCACAGAAATGTAAAGAGCCCTGGTCCCAGCGGCAAATATTTTGAAAAACGGCCTGGTCACTAAGGGGTTAAAAAACTAAAATAAAAAAATCCACAGTATGTAATAGTTACTTACCTGGTACAACAATGCATTTGCTATTGGTAGAATTGGGCTATATTACATTTCAGCGCAAAACAGACCTTAGATCAGTTGCATATAGTAAATATACTAAGGATGTCTATAAATTGGGATTATAGAATAGCAACTTGCATACAGAATATACTAAGAACATATTGTGGGTGTTTCTTAACAGCGCCTTATACATAGAGATATCAGTCAAATATACTGTTAAAACCGTAAATCATACGTAGCCTACATCTTCTATGTACAGTGACAGGAGTGGGCGCAGGACTTTTCTTTTTGCATTCATTTTTTGTATCACACAGCTAGGTTACAATGCTGCTGCCCATCCCATGTGTTCCCTATTAAGGGTTAATAAGTATATAGGGGTGTGTGTGTGTATATATGTGTATGTATATATATATATATATATATATATATATATATATATATATATATATAAATACTCCTTTCTGTCTCAGAGATAATTTTGCCAGAAGCTCATGGAAGCAAGAAGGGTCAGTGTAGGACCCGTGTAAGGGGGTTTGCTTTGACGTTGGCAGGCAGGCATTCCCTCCAGTGGCCATTGGAGTAACTAAATGATCTCTATTTATTTAAATATACATAGGGATTAAGGAGAACACGCAGGTAACCTTTTTTCCTTTGGTTTTTGCTATATGTATTGGCTGATGTGTACTGTAGTCATTGCTGCCGCCCAGGAGTGGTAGGAGTAAACGCAGGACTTTTCTTTTTGCATTTATATTCAGTGACACTATGCCTGCACACCAGCACGTATATTAAAATTATGAGTGCGCTAAATTGAGGCTGTTTTCACAGAACTTCATGCACAGATTATACCACTCACATATACTGAGGTTGTGACTAACAGCAACCCACACACAGAACTTGTATTAGATTGGACTCCTATAGAGGATGCGTCTTATTCAAATTTATTGTTGTGTTTTCACGAATACATCAAGTATGTAGTGGACCTATACTGAAGCAATATTACATATAAAGCATGTAGAGAACATATACGAAGGCTGTTTTCACAGCAACTCAGAGATAGAGAATATAGAGAACAAACACAACCCCCCCAAGCCTGTCTTCAGACCAACTCTTACAGGCGGTGTCCTCATAGCAACCCATATATTGAGTATATACTGGACATTCTTCAAACAAATTCATACATAGAGCATATAGTGGAAACATACAGATTCTGTACCACAAACCAGTTAATGTACAGATACTGAGTCCCACTGATCTCATAAATTGTATTTTTTTCCCACTCTGAAAAAGCATGCTTATTTGCTATAATGCACAGATAACAGCAATCAATGCCACATGCCTTGATAGAAACGAGTGTCTGTGCAGACTTGGGTTTTAACCAGTCATATACACGTGTGTAATTTAATCAGTCATCCAGGAAAGTTCTCTTACCTTGGTTATTTCTCTGGCTTCAGGACTGTAATTCCAGCAGACTTTATATAGCCAGGATATCCAATAGCACTCCTTTTGCAGAATGCACCCTTTCATGTATAAACTTACCTAAATGTGACCTATTAGAAGGAAGCCTAATGTAAGCAGCTGGGAGGGATTGAAAGAATAGAGACCCAGGTGCCTATACTAGTTTTAATCGAAATTAGTAATGCACTTACCTGAACAGCTGCAGGCCTGCGTTTCAGTGCCAAAATGGGTATTTTAACAACAGCCTAAGCTGTTTAAATTATAGGCTTCCACCTGTACCCCATATGCCGTTCGTCATCACCAGGGGGAGAATGTTTAAACCAAACAAGATGGAATACATAGAGGCATACCCAGGTAGTCACCGTATGGAATTGCTGTTTGCTGAGTCTTCAGGGATAAGAGGCTGATCCCTGGCATGCAGTGGACCATTTTCATCCCCTGAGGGAGAGGTTGAGTCCCACCCCCGGTCACTAAAAGGGGTACCCAGGCTAGCCACTTTTACACGAGTGCGTTCCTGGGTCTTCAGGGTCTAGGTCCTGAACCCTGGCAGGGCTACAAAAATATTGCCTGGTGAGCATAAAATAAATCTAGGCTCCTTCCAAATTGCTGTGAAGAACAGAAAAAAAAACAAAAAAACCTACCTGATGGGAATGGGGAGGATCTATACCAGTTTCACTGTTTTATTGCCTGTCCTTTCGGCTGTAAGGGGAGGAGCCAACCCATGAGTAAATGCTGCCATGATTGATCAGGAAAAATATAAAAACGAGAGACTACAATGACATCACAAAATTTAAAAGTATTTTATAAGCTCTAAATACACAATTGCTCATAAGGGTTCTATCAGGATATAGGCACCTACATAATATACAATCTAAAACATTTTGGCTCTGGAGGCCTTTTTAGACTCCCACACTATTGGACGCATAATCCACCTACTTCCAGGTCTGTCTCCCTGCTAATGTCATAGGCCTTCACTTGTCAGACCTCTCTTATTCAACCATAAATCAATAGAAGGCATGTTTGTGTGAATAATATGCTACTTTTTAATACTCTTTTCACTGCTATGTTTAAATTTAAATCTAGCTTTTTAGAGAGCCAATCATTTACTTTTGGTATTTTAATACAATTCATTCACATTGCATGAATTGAAATACAAATTGCAAACCAGACTAAAATAAGTATGCAGTGACTAAAACTGAGCAGGAACACTTTCCTGCTCCTCTATTTTGCATATTAGATTTCAATTAAAGTCCAAGATCAATATTCAAGTCACATAAAAAAAAAAAACCAAAAAAAAAAAACGAACACATGTACCCCTTTTGCATCAGGTTAGACATTTCATTTGTTTATTGAAAATAAAAATGGACACAAACAATTTCCATTTTTATTACAGTATGTTTGCCAAATATATAACAAGCAGAGTATATATTTGAATTAAACTGGTTGCTATCAGTTAATGTTTTTAACACACCATCTGTTAAGAACATATAAAAATACCTCTTTTTACAAGCTTTATAAGAAAGGGAACATAAATGACAATTCCACAACAGGTCTTCAGCAAACATTACAATATACTATTAAAGACTAACAAAAACTTGATAAACACGATTGTGTCCTGCAGATAAATGATTACATAAACTAAAAGTGAAGTCTCAGGTACAAGGGAAAGCCTATTTAAACTAAATGACAAAAGCAAATTATTTTTATTTCTACAGGTGTTATTCGGAAATTATGAGATTCATAAAGATTTTACAAAAATATAAATACACAAAGTTTTGTTCTTTTTTGCAATGGTAAAGTAAGTTGTATTACAGCAGCTCCACAAAAACTGCAGTGTGTTAATAAAATTGCATACAAAACAACGTAGAGATGGGACATCTCAAGTGCCTGTCTCTATAAGAGTCCTGAAGAAATGTCCTGTAATGGGCTATTATTTTGGATCCAGTGTTTCCCAACTTGACTGAGTTAATCATGAAATTAGAGACCTACCCAAGTATTTATAAAGAAAAATTACTTTACACAATCAAATAAAATCCCAAGTGATACCTTAATGAACAAAAATTAACTACTACAGAAGAGGGGGTACAAACAAGTTTACTTCCGATTTGAAACCAAACAGCATTCAAGAAATGAAATATTCACACACACAAAAACTTAAATTCATGCACCCACCTCAATACATTAATCTGCTCACACATTAACACTATTTGATTACAAATGCCAACATATGGTGCATTTAGTTTTACATCCTCATAACACCATGCAAAACGTGGAGATTCTAATCCTTGGCACAGGGATTTATTGTATACTGGAAAACACTAAAATCTTTAATTTTGCATTACCATTCAGAAAACACTTTTTTTGCCTTTAATTAGGAAAAAGCTTTATTTACTGTACACTGAGTCAGTCCATCATAAGAAATGTATATATATGCAAATCCTTTTCTAAATAGAAATCACTCCTAACCATTTCACAAACCTTTGTGGCTTTTAGGCAAAATAGTTACGTTACAAAAAGGTTATGCAGCCAGTTTAAACACTATTAATAATAAAAAATGCTGTACATAGGTACAGAGTCAAACTAGCTTTGAAGAGAAAGTAGCTTGAATAACAGCTTAACAAAACTAAATAAAAAGTTGACAACATTGTTTAAGGTATTTTCACTTTTCTCACTTATGGTTACAACATAGGAAATAGACACAAATTGTTGCACTTGCATCTTTAAGATGGATGGGGTGGGTGAGAAAACAAAAAACACATTCACATTTCTATAAAAACTCAATGCAGCATTAATGGCCACTGGATTTATGACTATTCCAAGACCTTGATCTAGATTTTGACCGTGATCTGGATGGAGAGTGGGATGGGGATTTTGATCTCTCTTGTTCTCTTCTTGATTCCCGGCTATATTTGGAGCTTTGTTTATGATTTGATTTGCTGTCTGATTTGGAAGCTGCCCGGGATCTGGAATTTGATCTACTGCCAGAGCGATGGTGTCTTACTTCCTTCTTTGGCTGGGACTTTGAGCGTGACCTAGAGTTTGATCTAGACCTGGATTGTGATCGATTCCGACGGCTGAACCTGAGAAAAGATAGTCAAGATTGTCCTTTTTATATATATATATATATATATATATATATATATATAAAGCCATTTGTACGAAAAATTATTTTCAAAGAAAGTTAATTTAACTTAACATTTCTAATTTTACCAGCAATGTGAAATAGCCTTTTAAGTTTTGTCACATTATAAAGAAACTGTATGGCTAAATTTATCTATATTAACAAGATCTCCCCAACAGTGTAATTTGTCTCAACTTTTTTTTATTTTTTTTTTATTGTGTGGCTTTCTGTTGCACTGATAAAGAATGGCTTTTTTTTTTATATAGCTGCTCTTTTGTCTTGCTGTGCACAAACACTTTATTAATTTGCACAACCAGATTCTTAAATGACTCAATTTAGATTGCATACATGGTTGTCCTGTCACAGACCAAACAAATTAGAAAATTACTCCCCTTCCACGTATATCCATAAGGCATTTATATAAATATGTCAGAATGAGTACAATCACTTTTGGAACATCAGTGTATGATTATGTTAGACACTAAAGTACTGCAGAAATGCTCCATTGTACACTGTGGCCAATGAATTTCTTTGCACTGAAGAAAAGCAATACATCAATTTAATCTAATTGGATTGGCTATAATGCCTGTAGTCCTCTGGCATTGTCCCTCCATGAGACGTTTAGCACTAAATAAGTCGCTGGCCACCTACAATTCTGCCCCCATCGGCGTTATGGCTAAGACAAACTACACACTTCCTTCTAGCCATATCAAGTCAGCAATGAGTTGTGTGATAGGCTGAAATTGCTTAGCTGACAATCTTATTCAATCACAGCAGTTCATTGCTGCTCAGGCTAATGCTTACTCATTGACCAAAGCAACACAGAGAGGATGTGTTGCTGGGGACTCTAATTTAGTATTTAAAAAAAAAGGTTGAATGGTGGAACTTCAGACACCATTTCAACTAAATGAAGCAGCTACTTGTGCCTACAGTGTCCTTTTAAAGGCAGGAACAGCTTACCTGCCATGTTCTGAACGGCTTCTGCTACGACGTGGCCTTTCTGATGCACGGCTATATAAAAAAAAATTAAAAATGTTTTTTTCTTCTAGATATGGCAATCATCAAATACTACAGGCTACCAGTAAAAAAAAAATATTTTTTTTTAAAATAAACTGTTATAAACAAGCTGTTCTGCCTTTGAATGAAAAATACTATTTACCCCCTCGGGCTGTAGGATCTCCCATAGTTCTGATCAAGAGATCGACTCCGAGATCTTCTCCTCTCATAGCTACGACTTCTGGACCTCCTACTGTACCGGTCATATTCATCATAATCGCTTCTTCCCTCCTTGGCTTTCATTTGATTTGGTGCTATTTAAGATTTAGCAGGGAAAAATAAATAAATTTAAAACTCAAAAGTAAACAAAGATGAATGGTGGACGAAATAAAGAGAAAAACAAATTCTTAAATAAACACCACTCCCAAAAAACAAAAACAAAAAAAAAAACACAAGTGTGTATGCAATATATACACTGCTTAAAATTTTCAAGACCTAGGCTAATCAAAACTTAAAGTTACTTGCCACTGCAAGCCTGGAAAGTCCATGCTATACTCACCAGAAAGATAGAATAAATATAAATACACACACAGATTAGATTGCTGTACTCACAGACTTTCAATTCCAAACTTAATTTCCAATTCATTAAAAACATGATCTCCTTTGGAACACTGACATTACATCCTAGCAGAGCGAGGTGGTGTAGCAGAATCCTTAAAGGCCTCCTGAGGCCTATCTTACTGAATATAAAATTTTTGGTACATTATTTTTCAGTTTTTCATTAAATTTTCCATTGTTCGTTTATTGTTTTCCTTTTTTCAGGGATTTTAACTTAAGTACCTTATACCTGCCCTCGTGTGTTCAAATTTGCATTGCTTAGAGGGAATAATATCTCTTACCAGTGGGGTAGATTACTGCCTCGTGAAGTTATTGGCTAGGAGATATGGAGATATATATATATATATATATATGAATTATATCTAAAACCCTCACTTGACTTGCCATTTTTTGTACAAAGTTTTCATATTATTGTTTCACTCACTAAGTCATGTTTCTAACTTCACTATTTATGCTTGCATTCTCACAAGTGAAGAGTTAAAAAAAAATAATCAACGTTTCAAGTAGGGATGTTCATATATACGTGGGACAAACATTTCCATTTGTAACGATTTGGAAATAAAGATCGGAAAAGTGAGTCAGCAAGTGCAGCTATCTATATACACACACACAACCTTGCAATCTAGCTTCAAAATTACGTGGCTGGGTGCACAGCCAGGGCTCCAGTACCAAAGTAGTTAAAATAGATGGCTGCACTCTCGGTCTTGAATAAAAACTTTTTTATTTCAGCTTTTTAAAAACAGGATTAAAGTTTCAGTCCTCCTCAAGGACTTTCATCAGGATCATAAAAATGTTTTATGATCCTGATGAAGGTCCTTGAGGAGGACAGAAACGTTGATCCTGTTTTTAAGAAGCTGAAATAAAAACTATTTTATTCAAGACCGAGAGTGCAGCCATCTACTTTTAACACACGCGCTTGCTTTCTCTGGGTAATTTTCAGATAAATGCTAATTTATTTATTAATACAAATAATGGATATATTCTTTCAATGCAAGATGTGGCACCAATAAAATAGTCTTTACACAAACAGTTGCATATAAATTCAAAGCAAATAAAATGAATACATGAATGCCAAATGGTTTACTTTTAAAATTTGTATTTCTTATTGGTTTTGCTTCACTTATTTCTTACACAAATTTACAGATTTCAAAATTCTTTATACATGAGCATGGAAACAAATTGCAACACTTCAATTGAGATTAATTTATTAGAGTTATATGTGCTATAAGCCCGCAATTTAAATGTTTACTGTGTTAATCAAAAACATGTGTAAGACTACAAATGCTAAACAATCATACTTTACAGTTAAAACTAGTGTATTCTCAAATTAGTCACCCTGCGCCCCCCCCCTTAAAAAAAAAAAAAATAAAAAATAAATTTACTTAAAGGAACACTATAGGGTCAAACAACACAAACATGTATACCTGATCCTATATAGTGTCACCATCTTACCCACCTATGCCTCCCTAAATATAGTAAAATCTTGCTTGTATTCAAGTCTGCAGCTGCTGCCTCTGCCCCTAACCTGCCTGTTATCATCAGAAGTGATTCTCTGAACCAATCACAATGATTTTCAATAGGATTGGCTGAGACTGTCAAGAAGGCAGATCAGGGCCAGAGCCAGCACAAGTCAAACCCATCCCTGGCAAATCAGCATCTCCTCATAGAGATGAATTGAATCAATTCATTTCTATGATGAAAAGTTTAGTGTCTCCATGCATAGGGAAGCGCCTGTAGCAGCCATCTGAGCATTGGCCAGTGGAGGTATGCCTGGGCTGTAATGTAAACACTGCATTTTCTCTGAAAAGCCTGAAGGTAATGATTCTACTCACCAGAATACATTAAACTGTAATTGTTCTGGTGACTATAGTGTCCCTTTAAATTTTACACATAACAGAACTCCCTCCTGATTTAAACATCCCTCACTCGGTGCCAAACAATCCAGCAGATTACCTCCACATTAGACAAGAGAAAAGACCAGACATTGAAACACTTGTTTCAGATCACAGAATAGTAAAGTTACAGTCCGTGAAACAGGCACTTGTTAAAGCTTGAGAAATATCAATTTCAGGGGTTGAAATGTTGGCAATCTGATTATGATTGATGTGTCTCTGTATTAGTCATCCATCCTTGAGCACCAGGCCATCTTGCCTTTTTACTTAATTTTCAAAACACTTCTCAAAGAATAACTCACTTTTTCGGTCTCCTTGTGCAAACTGAATTTCAATCTGACGTCCACATATCCACTTCTTGTCCAAGTTATGCAAGGCATCTTCTGCATCGCGTACATCTTCAAACGTGTCACAGGTTAAGGTATTTGACAGAACAGTGCTATTGAAACTAGATAAATTCTCACTTTTTGGGGGGGGGAAATAGGTCTTAATACTGCATGTTCAAGAATTTAAAAAAAATACAATATAAAGAAAGGAAACCATTAGAATACAATCGTTATTTCGGACAATAGGTTCCCTTCTGTCTGCCCCTATGCCACGCAAAAATGAAGTTAAATTTTACTCACCTTGTTTCCAATGCTGCTGACATCAACCACAATGTCATCCAATGCTTCTCAGAGGAACACTGGACTAAAAAGAGTGCATGCATGGCAAAAAGTATCTATCCTGCAATGAAATACTATACCCAGTCTGAAGGAGTGGCACACCATGTAGAAATATTTTTTTTTGTTTTTAACCACAAGACCAGCCTAAAAAACACTTTATGTATGCTACTTATCAAAAGTGCTGCTGAATTTAGTTCCCCACCCCGCCTCCTTGAATACCTCTATTAAAACTATTTCTGGTGTACCTTGTTCTAAAACAAGTTAATTCAGGGAACTGCACAAATATAATCCAGAGAGCGCTGTAGGTAATATATACATATATATATATATATACACACACACACATATACATATATATATATATATATATATACACATATATATATATATATATATATATATATATACACACACACACACACACACACACACACACACACACACACACACACACACACATATATATATATATATATATATACACACACACACACACATATATACACATATATATACACATACATACATATACATACACACATATACATACATATACACACACACACCAAATATAGAATATGCCTGTTATTTCAACAAGGAGATCATGTTTTTCAATTCTGTACTCGGGAAACAATATTTTTAGGTGTACAATACCAACACCACATAAATGATGCTTGGCACTACACACCTCCTAATAGGTCTACTAGGAATGATAGGGGTAGCATAGTTAACTATGCTTGTAAGTGACACATTACCTAACAATTCTTAGCATGTAGGGGTTGCAGGAAAAACTGCCTGGTGCCTGCTTAATATTAAGGCTTGAAAATAAATGTGTCCCTGCACATCTACAAGTTTGCGGAAGAGAGAAACCTACCTGTGATCTCTCTCCCTCTTATACAATGGAGTCTTGTTTAAGAGGCATTACTTGGTCAGGTGAGGGATGGTAGTGGACCAGCAGATTTCTACACTGTGTACGGAGTATACAATTGCAGATAATGCAATTCCTGGTTAAACCTGACTCATGTCCTGTTGGTCCATTTATCAGCCACTATTGCAATAAGCGAATTATGTTTAATGTGTTTGAGTATAGGTAGTGTACAGTCTTAAGGGCTGAATTTCAAATTGCCAATGGCAAGTTTAAAATTTTGATCCCTGCTGTATTGACATCATACTGTAATTAGCACACAGTGAGTAAAAAATGCCTGACGTTTCAGCGATTTAGAAAAAACCTTGCAAGAAATATTTAAAATCTGCATTAAAAAAAAATTGGCTTTCTGATGCCTCGAGAACACCTTAATGGTATTATTTCTACAGACTTTGTGGTACATACAAACTATTCAATGACCATGCATAAGTCACATTTCCTATTTCAAACTGTCCTCTGAGCTTGCCCAGGAAATGTAAAAATAACATTTTCACATTGTCAACTCTGAAATGGCGGCGTGAAGAACTGAAATGGTTGACAAATTATGGATAAAACTATACAAAACATGAATATGTGATGCCACAAGAAACTGATTTTTTTTTAAATCTTATGTGCCACTTAAGGAATGTGACAATTGGAATGCTATTGTAATATCCCTCTCCTCACCTGTTCCATACTTTAGGTTATCATTGCAATAGGCACACCGCATAATCTCAATCCGCAGTGAAGAGCCATTGTAAGATGCGAGAAAATCCTACATCTCATGGAAATGATGGCACACCAAGATCAATTGCGTACTTACACACGTTGATAAACGCATCTTTGTTTGATAGGATACATCAGGCATGACTCCTGCAATCGTGGCCACCATTCAACGTCATCTTGACCTTTAAGAGCTTGTCAGGAGGACTTGACATGAGGCGCTTGCCAATAATGACAGATGGCTTTAGCTTTAACTTTCAAAAATAACTTTCCCCCTTTTGTGGATAAAGCGAAGCTTTGTCTCCTATTATGGCTTGTTCTTCTTCCAGCTTTTCTTTAATCTTTTTTTCTTTTCCCACTTTCCCTTTTTATCTTCAAGCCTGATCATTAACAGGTCTTTGGTTTGTCTACTTGTCTTAAGAGACGAACTCTACTCTAAAAGGTTTTTCATGCTTTCTCTGTGGTTTCGCCATTACTGTACAGCTTTACAATCTCTGAGGTAATAACAGAGGACAGCAGAATTAGGGGACAGAATTAAGTTAATCATCATAAAATGTTTTAAAGTAATTTAGAAGAAAAAAAAAATGATATGAGCTTTATCCAAAAATACTATATATGATTTAAAGGGACATTATAGGCATCAATACAACGTTACCCTGAGGAAGCATTTTGGGTGTATAGATCACGCCCCTGCAACCCCAGCCACACCTCCCCTGGTTGCAACTCACACAGTCTGCATGTGGTTTCATATTCAATCAAAAAAAAAAGAAGAAAGTTGACTTATTTTTAGCTCCTCCTCTGCAAATTGAATTTTAATCGCACAGGAGGTTCCTGCAGCAATCTTCATAGGGCATGAGATAAATTCCAAATAAAAAGACTGCAGTAAAGTATGTTTACACATTAGATCTGTTTACATGAAGTGTTTAGAAAAGCTCAGTAAGTTACATGTAGGAAGGTCTGATTAGGGTTGCATAAACAAGTGATTTAACTCCTAAATGGCAGATAATTGAGCAGTGAGATTGCAGGGGTATGTCAATACACCAAAAGTGCTTCATTAAACTAAAGTTATTTTGGTGCCTACACTATCCCTTTAAATACAATAGAAGCACAATTTATGAATATATTCAGAGAATTACTTTGCAATGTACAGAAACTTTACTGCAAGCAACATGGAAATTAACTTAAACATAGCAAAGCAATTCATTTTATTTACTTGGTTACCTCTTACAATCTTTAAATGATAACTTGACCTCAAACAGTCAGTCGAATGAAGAAAGGATATTGAACATAAGCAAACCCCCTGGGGCGACGAGTGTAGAAATCAAGAGGCACGTAGACATCAACAATAGGACCATATCGACCAAACTCCCGACGCAGGTCTTCTGACCTAAAATAGAAGAAATGATACAATTTTAAAACTACTGAAATACAGCCATAGAAACAACATCCTCAGCACTAGAACATCTAATGCCCCTTCTCAAATTACCTAGACACTTGAGAGCAACAGTGGTTGTGATGGCATCCACGGAGTTACAATGTATCAATAAGGTGTCACTCACTTCACAGCACACATTTCATAGCACATTATTTTCTCCCATTTTTTAAAATATTTTTTTTCATATTAAATTAGGTTTCATTCCTAAATATTTGATGTTAAATGAAAGCCCTGTAATTATATATAAGTGTGCTTGCATTTAATATGAAAAATCACGGCTGGACAGACAGAGCGCAAATGCCAGGTTTTGTTTCGATTACAACTTGTACATTTGGCTGCAGTCTTAAGGGGTTAAGTAACATCTCTGCTCCAGGAGTTAAAACTGGAAGCGGTTAAAAATAATAATTAAAAAAAAAAAAAAAAATAGATTACAAGTAGTGTACAATTATAAAGAAACCTTATGTTCCTTTACACCCAATATCACCTTTGACTATGTCATAAAGATAAAATATTTATGAAATACTCCTATTGAATGTTGGAATTTCACTGAAATTCCAAAGCACAGACAAAACGGATTGTCAAGTTACCAAATCCCACACGCATGGGCACAGTATGGCAGGGTTGGACAATTTTGCTTTGAATCTAGGAGCCAGCTAAAAATAATATACAAGTAGCCAGGATTTTTTTTAAAACAAAAATAAAATTCTTAAAGGGACTCTTAATCCACTAGTTTTCAATGTAAACACAGCCTTTTCAGTTAGTTAAAAAATACAAACTGACTCCTAAATTCAAAGCAAATTTGTCAAGACCTGCCATAGCATGTGTCTGTAATGTGCCCTTAAGTAAGGGAATTGGCAGCTTGACAGCATAAGTTCTGCCTTTTCTCAAGTTTAGTCAGCCTCGCAGAGAAAAGGCAGTGTTAACATTGCTGCCTAGTTACAACTCTAGTAGCAGTTATTCAGATGGCCACCAAAGTGCTTCATATCTCAGTGTCTCCATACTCTGCATGGAGGCGCTTAACATTCCCTATAGAGATGCATTGATCATAGCGCCAACAGATTCAGTAGCGCTTTACAATATTCAATGCTTCTCGGCACAGAATTTTGATACACATGCGCAGTAGCTTGAGATTACCAAGCTTGATTATCTCAGCCATGGAGGTGGGACCAGCTTCAACATGGGAAAATAAAGAGTTAAAAAAAAAACCATCAGAGGGGGGCAACTCACATTATCCCACATGCTCAAAAACTATTTGTTTTAATTCAATTTGTCCACCAGCCTCCCTAACCTTTGGAGAGCTGGAGTGGATCTGTTTTCCCTGAGGTCCAGTGGGGCTGTCATTTGGAAGCTCTTTTAGATGTTCTCCCTCGCATGCAATTTAGTGATGCTGGGGCCGGAATGGCATCATATTCCAGCTCCCAGCAGCAATGCAGGGCATGCGAGGAAGAGTAAGAAGAAGATTACAGCGCCCTAACCGCCTGCATTCTGCCTCAGCCTCCTGCTCACCTCCAAGGAAACAGGCCAATACACAGGTGCTACGACAAACTTTTTAGTAGCCGTAGCGACCTGGGATTTGGGCAGATGAGACACCGTTGGCTGAAAACCACACACACATATATAAATTTCAACAGTTTCTGGCACTCATCCCCAAAAAATAAATAAATCACGTCCAACAATTACCAGTTGCCTCTCCGTACAAAAATATAAACCGAAAAGATTGAGAGCACTCAATGGATTTTGTAAATCAATAATGTATTAAATATAACGCATACAAATCAACGTTTCGACCGTCTAGCGGTCTTTATCAAGATGCTATACCATGTGAAAATGCAAAAATAAATACCATATCATGTATTAAACTTACCCAATCACCGAGTGTACCCTGTCTATCCGACCTGCTCTGTGAGTGATGCCGCAAATCTCGGACTATCGTGCGTACTGCCGTAAAGTGACAAACGTAAACACCAAGAGTTGCCTAGTAACGGCAAAGCCATTACAAAAAGAGAATCGGAACGAGTTTAAAAACATAAACGGAGGAGAAAAAATAAAAATGTATAAAGCTTAAGTTCATAGTCCTGAGTATATGTGGATGTAAGATGTTAAAAGAAGCAGACTAGATGGATCAGAGTTTACCGGATAAAATAATCAGTACGGACTCATATTTGTGAATATGAATATACTAAGTAATAAGAAGTGATGAGCTGAAAGAAAAGGACTGTATGGTGTGAAATTAATATGTTAAGAAATTAAAAGGAACTGTGGTGTGTGTGAAATGTGGTGTATGTGGTGAGCTGAAAAAATGAAAACTGTGACAAAAGTTAGAAAACTGTATCTGAAGTGACATGTATGGTCTAAGGAGACTAGGTGTGCAGATGGGTTGTAAAATTGTTATGTCACTTTACGGCAGTATGCACTGTATTGCATTTCTGCATGCTGTTTGTTTGACCACAGTCACTTTTCTTTTTCCGCTCACCTAGTATCTTCAGACCATGTAGTTCACTCCAGACACAGTTTTATCCATTATTCATTCGTTTTTTTAGCTCATCACACACACACCATATTTTTCTGTAGCATATTTCCAATTTTACAACCCATCTGCACACCTAGTCTCGGTAAACTCTGATCCACCTAGTCTGCTTCTTTTAACATCCTCCATCCACATATACTCAGGACTATGAACTTAAGCTTTATACATTTTTATTTTTTTCTCCTCCGTTTATGTTTTTAAACTTGTTCCGATTCTCTTTTTGTAATAGCTTTGCCGTTTCTAGGCAACACTTGGGAGTTTACGTTTATGTCACTTTACAGCAGTACGCACAATAGTCCGCGATTTGCGGCATCACTCACAGAGCAGGTCGGATAGACAGGGTACATTTAATACATGATATGGTATGTATTTTGCATTTTCACATGGTATAGCATCTTGATAAAGACCGCTAGATGGTCGAAACGTTGATTTGTATGCATTATATTTAATACATTATTGATTTACAAAATCCACTGAGTGTTCTCAATCTTTTCGGTATATTATATATAATACAATGCTAAACAAAAATCTGCACACCAGTCAAGCCATAAGACTTGCTTTTCCCACAGAAATCCCAAATCAGCAGTAATGTTACCAGTGAACCACTCATGGACAGCTGTTTCGTTGTTAATGCAACTCTTCATGTGGATAGTATTTGGGATTTCTGTGGGAAAAGCAAGTCTTATGGCTTGACTGGTGTGCAGATTTTTGTTTAGCATTGTATTAACTATCCACATACTTCAGGTGGAAGGGGTTTTCAATCACAATTTTTCCCCACCATAACCTATTTGGATTTTGCTTCCCAAGCACTACCAAGCCTCACTAAGCAAACCAGTAACCAACCTCATGCTGAAGAGTTGCATTAACAACGAAACAGCTGTCCATGAGTGGTTCACTGGTTTTGCATCTTATCCTAAATTGTGTTCCAAGCAGTTGTATACTGCAAACACAAATTAAAAGGAATCCATGTTTAAAATGGAATGAGGCAAAAATGTGATTCTTTGCTAAACTAATTTGCATATGCCCACCCAGAATCCTTTGCGGTTGTAACATCACTGCTGATTTGGGATTTCTGTGGGAAAAGCAAGTCTTATGGCTTGACTGGTGTGCAGATTTTTGTTTAGCATTGTATTAACTATCCACATACTTCAGGTGGAAGGGGTTTTCAATCACAATTTTTCCCCACCTATATATATATATATATATATATATATATATATATATATATATATATATATATATATATATATATATATATATATATATATATATATATTTTTTTTTTTAAATGGTGGAGCCCATGAAGAAAAGCTTCAGGTATTTCTCGCCTTAGCTTAACCCTCCAGCCACACAAAGACTGACTTAAAAATGACATCTTTGAGTGTATTTTCAAAATATAAAACCAAACAAATTTATGCAAGAAAAAAACAAAAAAAAAAACAAACAGCACAAATGAGGCCAAACCCGAATCAAAAGCTCTTGACTAGCGCAATGGGAAAACAAAAAGAAGCACCAGCCATTTCTGCCACGTGTCCTAGTTAAAATGAACTATAAAAACAGAATGGGCTCAGTAGGCGGGCTTATTTACTAAATGGAGATTACCTGGAATTAAAATTTTACACGAAAACAGCCAACCTGAAAATAAAGAATTTAGTTGCCCATTTGTATTCTTTAATACAACTATTTTGGCCTAAACTTGAAAATTTAAAGCAATTCTCACTTTAGTAATAACCTTGGAAGAGGTCAAGTGCAAGTTATTACCTTCATCACCCTTCCTCAAAAAGAACTTGAACCAGTGCAGGGAAAATAGTACTGTGGTATTGGAGGTGTATACTTTTTGAAATATTAATTTAGAGGGGAAAAAAAAAAAACAACAACATTTATTCCAGAGATGAAGGGAGGACAATTGTTTCTTTTATATGGCTTTGTAGTAGCCTTTCATACTGTAAAAAAAATAAATTTACGTTTTAAACATTAACAAAATGTCTGATTCCCTAAAGAGTGCATTACAGTGAATTTCAAATAAAACTGCAAGCTTCGGGAAAAAACTAAAATGGAGACCTTTTGAACTTATGTATGCTGACAAAATAGTACTGAACTCAGTTTAGTGAATACGTCTCAATTTGGGTTTTTTCACTGAATGTTAGAAAGTGAAGGAAAAAAAATTATGAGGAAACAATAATACAAGCTCTATTTTGGTTTCAAGCATGGTTTTACTTGCAGATCAGCAAGTAAACCTTTAAAGTGGAATCAGTTATTCACAAAAGTGTGAACTGTTGGAAACACATTAAGGTATATCTACTAAACTCCAAAGTGTAGCAAATTGAAATTAGAATGGCAAACTGGCAAAGATTGCCAAATGGTGATCACAACCAAAATAATTTATTTATAGCTTGGCTATTGTAACAATTTTGTTTTCGAATATTAATTTGCCTCAATTCAGATTGTAGTTGATAAACCCCAAAGTGAATTTCAAACTTCAAGATAAAATATCAAAACTTGAAACGCAGTAGACTTGAGGATTCTTCCACTCTGCTACTAATGCTACACGGTTACAAGGTTATTCGTTTTCACAATATAAAACAATGGGGGAAAAACAGGCAAAAAAATATCAAATAAATCTAGGGGGGGAAAACCCCTCCATTTCCGTCAATCACGTTTTGATATTTTGATTTAATTTGCTAAACTGGAGTTTAGTGAAAAACCCTTAATGACCTTATATCTTAACGTGTGAAAAAGTTTTACATCACTTTGACACTTTTTTGTACATATCCGACCCTCATCCTTTCCCACAAGCACATGGCTGGATGTCCTGAGGAGCAAGGATATGACTTAACCCACATTAATAAATCCTCTTTGCATAACGTTTGTCAAAGAGTTGATCTACATATTTATTCAATACAGCGAGAGTCTGTCTGAAATTCAGAATATTAAATTAAAAGACAAAAATAGCCCCCCCCCCCTCCCACCCAAAACCTAATATGTGCCTATTCTTCCAGCTCAGCTACCCAGGTTTTAATTTTGAAATTCTATTAGAAATCCCAACAATTCTCACTGCAGTGAATAATGGTGTAAACTATGAATTTCGGAGGATTTTAATCCAAAATGCAACATTCAGGCTATCCCCCCTCCCTCCCCCCATGCTGGCTACAGTGCGAGGCTGGCTGGCCATGCTGGCTGGCTGTGGTTACTATGAGGAGCGCGGTGAGCTGGATTGTAATGGCTGACACGCTGCATGCCCGGCCCTGCCTCCCTCCCTGTTTCCTGCACACGCGGTGTAGCCATGGCCGGCTCACTCTGACACACATGCAGGCTGCCAGACCCGGCCCCCCCGGGCCACACACCGGAGAGCCCGCACTGCCAGCACACAAAGCCGCCCCTCCCCCACCGCGATCCGGCCGCTGCTACCGGCCTCACCAACCTGATGTCGTCCGCCACGTTCCTGACGAAGAGCGAGGTGTTGGGAGGACGGAGATACCGAGACATGGCGCCGACCGCGAGCAGCTACACACCGCACAGGAGAGGATGAGAAAAGGACCCGGAACGACCTACACAGCGCCGACACTCACACACACAGTTCGACCGAGCGCGCGAATCACAATGGCCGCTCGAGCCTCCGCCCCCGAAACACGCCGCCTGGCCGCCGCGACACTCGCGAGAACTGGGGGGGAGGGGGAAATGGCGGGAGAGAGCGCGCGCGCACCGCTGACAACATGGCGGCTGTGCTAACAGAGCGATCAAGGGGTCACTGCAGTGCCCTCAAAATCCCCAGGAGACACCTGCATGTGGCACAGTGGTTTATTGTTAAATACATTGCACGTTTTAGAATTTTTTAAATAAAAACTTTATGTACAATACTCCTTAAGGACACATGACATGTCATGATTCCCTTTTATTCCTGAAGTTTGGTCCTTAAAGGACCACTATAGGCACCCAGACCACTTCAGTTTAATGAAGTGGTCTGGGTGCCAGGTCCCTCTAGTGTTAACCCTTTTTTTTTTCAGAGAAACTGCTGTGTTTATATTTGGGTTAATCCAGCCTCTAGTGGCTCATTGACAGGCGCTAGAGGCACCTGCGTGCTTATCACAGTGAGAAGACGCCAGCGTCAATAGGAAAGCATTGTAAATGCTTTCCATTGAACTGGCTGAAAATGCGCGCGGCCAGCCGATGACGTCGTTATGAAGGAGGAGAACTCCCTGCCCGGCGCTGGAGAAAGGTAAGATTTTAACCCCTTCCTCTCCCCAGAGCCCGGCGGGAGGGGCACCCTCAGGGCACTATAGTGCCAGGAAAACAAGTATGTTTTCCTGGCACAATAGTGGTCCTTTAAGGGGTTAAACTCAAGTCATGTATTTTGTTAAAGGACAGCCGTAATCTCAGCACTGTTTTTTTTTTTTTTTTTTAATAATAATAAGTTAATGAAGTTTTGAAAGGAAACAGTTTGTTTCCAAATTATGTTTATGTAAAGAAAAAGAAAAACTCATCTGTACCCTCAGCATATGACCGGTTCCTTCCGCCATATACAGACACCTTGGGTCAGACAGTGTTTGAAAACTGACAGTATCTATCTTTATTCTCTCTGATTCACTCTGTGCCAGTGACATTGTCAGACTGCTGTCAGCTTTGTCACTCGAACCTGCGGAGTGTACGATGGCATGCACACCATGGTAACGGTCCAAAGCAGTCCGATTGGCTCCACGGTCAGATAAATCTCTAATTGTGCTGGATAAGTGTCCTGGGAGTTGTTATTTACTGAACGCAGGACCTGAGTGAGGAGCCATCACAAAATGCGTCAGGTCGTCATGAAGCTCAGGCCCGCTACCCCGGTTATGAGGATTTTGAAGACTTCTTGGTCAGTGACCCACTGAGAAGTGTATTTTGTTTCTTGAGTGCTCACCACCCAGTGACTTATCTTATACTTGTATTTATAGAAATGGTTTTCTATTTGGTGACCACCTTACAGTGTCTTTTGTCTTACATACCAGCTTCCTAGTTTTTTTATTCATATGTATATTTCCAACTTCACAGTATTTACTTTATGTATCATAAGATAAGCTAGTGTGTGCTATTCATGATATCTTGTGAAAGTGTCATCAAAACATGCTTGCCTGTGAAATTATATTGGGTGGTGTTGAGGCGAGCATAGTTTGCTGTGTCTTCAAGGCCAGAGATCATGTCAGAGAAATGATAGTTGTCAAAAGATATGTTTGTTTCTAGTTACCCAAATAATATCCTTCGCCTAAAGGTAAACATTCTGGCAGGTGTTCAGTTAAAGTGCCCAGGGCATCAGTAGTAATAAACTGTGCTATGTCATACATCATGTCAAGTCTTGCTTCTGGGGCCACATAGCAAATAGCAGAATGTTTAGCTATTTCTTTCTTTGTTAACCCATTGATGTAAAATATCTCCTTACGCTTTACTGGCAAGTACACACATACATAGAATAGTAAAGGACTACTATAGGCACCAGACCACTACAGCTCAATGAAGTGGTCTGGGTGCCAGGTCCATTTAGGGTTAACCCTGCAGCTTTAAACATAGCAGTTTCAGAGAAACTGCTATATTTACTTTAGGGTTAATCCAGCCTCTAGTGGCAGTGAGAATCACTGTGAAAATCACAGTGAGAAGACGCTAACATCCATAGGAAAGCATTGAGAAATTGTTGGAAGAGGGAGAAGAGTTCCCCAGTACCGATGGAGCCTGGCACTGGAGAAAGGTAAGAGATTAACCCCTTCAGCCCCCATCATCCTGGCGGGAGTGGGACCCTGAGGATGGGGGGGACCTAAAGACCCTATAGTGCCAGGTTAATGAGTTTGTTTTCCTGGCACTATAGTGGTCCTTTACTGTAAAAGAAAGAAGTAGATAAAAGCAATGTATACATTTCCAGTGTATATAGTGCAATATGATTACCTATTAATGTTTCTGCATGTGCCTAATCAGTTTGCATGAATGTTGCCATGTGCTGCTTGTATTATGTGTGATGCAGCAGCTTTGTATGGCTGTATTTGTAGATATCTGCATGAGCAATTTGTGTTACCCCTCCAATGCAACTCTCTGTACACATAGTTACACATTGGCATATAAGCAGAGACTGCACCGGAGCCCGCACACTCAGGGGGTCCATCAGGTGGCCATACACTTAGGGCCACCCAATGGCAAAAGTGTTTTCAGTAGCCAGGTTACACGCTGCGGCCCTTAACAGTGCAGCTAGGCCCCTGTAATCTTCCTCCCAGAAAACACAGAGCCGGATGGGAGGATGGCAGAGAGGAGGTTGTGGAGTGGGAGAACCTCTGACTCTCAACAGCCTCAGCCAGTCTATTGGACCCCAGGGAAGCAACCCTCTTGCACCCAAAAGGTAGGAAACAGGAGGGTGGCTCAAAATGTTTACATTTTGCATGTATATGTGTGTCAGTGAATCTATGTGTCTGCGTGTGTATCTTTGTGTCAATGTGTACTCCATGTATCTGTGTGTCTGTATATGTGTATTAGTATTTGCATGAGTATCATTGTGTGTATCTGTGTGTGTGTCTGTGTGTTAGTGTGTGTATCTGCATGAGTGCCAGTGTGTGTGTCTGTGTGTATCTGTATCACTGAGTGTAGCAGTGCAAATGTATATGTGCATACATCTCAGCATTCAAACTTAAACACTATAAACAAATACACCACTGCATTCAAACATCAACACCACATACAAACACACCTCTACATACAAAGGCAAACACTACACACTACACAGGTAAACAACTGTTTTTAAATGGCAACAGTACATAAAAACACACAATGCAAAACTAACACAAATACACACCTACATTCACACACATACTCAATACAAAAACATGCTTGCATTCAAACATACAAACATTGTTCAGTGCTAAATACAACTTTGCAAGGATCGGCAAATGGTAGATCCCCAGCTGGCAAAGCATTGTGGGAGTTGTACAACAGAAGGGGATCTATTTTTTTTTCTGTCCTTGCAATAGGAGGTCACCAAAAAATGTCTGCACCAGGGCCCTCTCTACTTTAGTTCTGCCACTGCAAATACCCTAGTCTCCCACACACTGTTAGACATTAACAAACTGCAAGACACACAATACAACCCACACTGCTAAACCGACACATTGACGAAGATGTTATTTTTAGCACCTCCATTTTGCTTTCCATTTAGCAGCAGGAGTTCCAGAAGCGATCAGGCTGGCCGGGGCAAGGGCAGATGCTTCGGTTGGCTGCTCTCTTCCAGCACGGTTTCGTCTTCCAAATCGCTGGGAAGAAGTGATCTGAGATTGGTTCCTCCGAGCACTGCCACAAGTGAATTAATTGAGGACTGACATTAATTAATTGAGGGCTGCTCTCACTGCCTGCTGTAAACAGGAACTAGCAGATATCTGAAGAAGTCCTACTGGGACCACTTTCAGGCCAGCTTTGGGGGAGACCCTCAGATTTCCCCAGCCTCTTTGGCCCTGGCACCCCTGTGTGCCGTGCAGACACCTTCCGTGCCATAGGTTGCTGACTGCTGTTTAAGACTAAAATTTGCAATTCCCTTGTCAACTATATACAATAAACACACTTGAAAGCAATGTGACATATCAATTCTATAGTGTAATAGGTATTGTTTTTTTGTTTTTTTTATATCCAGAGGTTCTAAGCCGTTACAGGCCCTCTCATATCGAAGGTATACACATATAGTTAAAGGAAGAGCTCAACTGAGAGTGGGTGGTAAATATGTGGCTTACAAGGTAAGGGGTGCTTTTTAAGGGGAACAAAATCCGCCCCCACACCGGATATAAATACATAATAGAAATAACAATAACCCCAAGACACACCAATTTGCACATAAAAAAGAGTTTATTCATACATACAAAGTAGGGATTGATCGATTATCGATTTTACCGATATTATTGGCCAATATTTTCGGCCAATATAGATACCGATATTGCCGATAATACCTCCTAGGACTGCCGGGCTCATTATAAGCCCGGTGGTCCTGGGGGGGCCCGCAGAAGCTCTTACTTACCTTTCCAGAAGCTCCCTTCAGTTTCCTGTGTAAATCTGACGAGTCCCGCGGCCGTCAGAGCGTTACCATGGGTTACCATGGCAATGCTCCGCGCAGCACGCTAGCCGCGAGATTTACACAGGGAGTTGATGGGAGCTGCTGGAAAGGTAAGTTAGAGCTTCTGCGGGCCCCCCTGCTCAGTACATGCCACTGGACCACCAGGGAATGCCACAGCCCCCTCCCTGGTCAGGTAACAAGCAGGGAGGGGGGACAAAAAAAAAAATCAAACACAGAAATATTAAATATAAAATTACTATAATTTTACACAAATTAAATTTTGCACAAATTACATCACTTCAGAAACACACACACACACTACACAAACACACATACACTCTGCATTATACACACACACTACACAGACACACACTACACAAACACACACTCTGCATTCATTATATACACAACTATACAAACACACACACACTGCATTATACACACACTACACAAACACACACACTGCATTCATTATATACACAAACACACTCTGCATTATACACACACTACACAAAAACACACACACACTCTGCATTCATTATATACAAAACTATACAAACATACACACACTCTGCATTATACACACACACTACACAAAACGGCACACACTGCATTCATTATATACACACACTACACAAACACACACACTGAATTAACTATGCACACACTACACACACACTGCATTCACTATACACACTGCACACATACTGCATTCACTTTACGCCCACTACACACTACATTCACTATATGCACACTACACAAACACACACTCTGCATTCACGATATATACACACTACACAAACACTCACTGCGTTCACTTTACACACTACACAAACACACCCTGCTTTCATTATATACACACTACACAAATGCACACTGCATCCACCAGCCAAACACACACAGCTCCCCTGTTTAAACACACTGCATCCACTACATGTGGCATGCATATTTTGTGCATTTACCTTAAGAAATAGTTTATTTTTTCAAAATGGTAAATGTACAGAATATCGGCAAGTTATCGGCTATCAGCCTGAGTTCACAGATTATCGGTATCGGCTCTAAAAAATCAATATTGGTCGATCTCTAATACAAAGTACATCAGAATATCTTAACAGAAGTAAAGTGCATAGTAAAGTGTATAGCCCATTAATAGTACCAAAAAACCACAGTAATAAAGTGCTAGATGCAATCACCCATTAAAAAGGTATACTGACCAAATAAAAACCCTGACTTTTTGGCTATGAAGCCTTCCCCTGGGGGACCTCTCCCTCTCATATCGAGGCCCATTAGATCTTAATGTCATGACAACATTCCTAACAGAACCCAAAGCTCCAAGAGAGCAAACAGAAGCACAAGCATGAGCAAATCCTCACAGTGTGTTCTCCTGAGAGTCTAGTTGCGAAGATCTGTTCTTTGAGGCTTTACCGAGATTGTTCAGTAAGCACAATTGTCCAGCATGTCCTTTACTGGAATAAATTAGGCAGCTTTTTTTTGTTGGTGATAGTGGCATGAGAATTCCAAATTTTATTAAATGACACGAAGGCTCATATTATGCTTTTTTTTCATTCTTTATTCTTCAGCAGCAAAGAAAGGATACTGTAATATTCATAGAAAGAATTCAAACATGCACCCTGAAAGGGTTAACAACATAATATGACATCCAATAAGAAAGCTCCTTGTACCATAAGCCCCCATGTGACCCTAAGCCACTCCTCTTTCTTTGCTGCTGCCTCCTCAGCTAAGTATAATTCAATTTTCTCCCTGTCATTACCAGTTAATTTTAGTGTCATTTTCATGTTTGTGTTCCTGACCTTATAGTTCTCCTTTAAGTAGATGCCAAGACAATACACTGGATGTCCTTGGTCCCAGTGCTAAAATATTGGACATGGTCGAAATGGCCCTGGGAGGTGGTACTCCTGCGGATTTGCTGACCATCAGGTGTTGGATCCAGTGATCCGTTTGTTTGCTTGGCAATGCCAATACGGCATTGGCTACTTGCAAGGCAATCCTTATAAAGATTAAACCAAAATTGGTGAACATGGCTATATTTGAACCTGGCCACAGGCAAAAATACCTCCTTTTTGGGGACAATTTTGTGAAGGAACTGGGCACGTATGTGTGGACTTTTACCGCACTCGATAAGGCGCAAGCCAATATGAACAAAGTATTCTCCCAAAGAGGTTTTAGCAGGGCTGGCAGATATTTGGGTGTATGCCCGGCCGTTCCTCCCTGGGATCGTACCGGGGTTCTCGAGGCTCCATGCACTCCTGATTCCAAGTTCCTGAACCTAAAAACACCTCACCATTCTTCCAAGTTCGTGGCAGGCCTTGGCAGTCTCATGGATCCAAAGGTTTATCCTATGGCTGATTGCCTTATGGTAAGGCACTATGGTATTCACTTCCATCACATCTCTCTTCAATAGCAATTGTGGGGGGCAGATTATGCCATTTTGTTAAATGCCTGGCGCATGTTAACTTCGGACTCGTGGGTCCTGCAAACTGTTCTGGGTTATTCCATAGATTTTGTTCAATACCCTGTTCTAATGTGGCTACCCAACCAAATAGTTTTCTCTTCACATGACCGGTAGCTGTGGAGATACAGTCTCTAGCTACCAAAGGCACAATCTCAGAGATGCATTCACACACCCAAAGGTTTCTAAGCAATCTCTTCCTTGTACCGAAGAAATTTACACCCGCTAAACGCATTTGTCGCATACCACTATTTCAAGATGGAAGGTATTCACTCTCTCCGAGACCTACTTCTGCTGGGGGATTGGATGGTCAAGCTTGACCTGCAAGACGCGTACCTCAATATTCTGATGGTCAAGGACTGCCAGCAGTTCCTGCAATTCTGGTGGGAGAAGACCATGTGGCATTTCAATTGCCAAACGGGTTACACATCAATTGCCACGAACTACTGGCAGACTTGTTTGCCCTTCAAAGTCTATTAGGGATTTTGACCAACTGCTCCATCCTTTTTCGTATGGACAACGTTTCGGCAGTTTGCTACATCAACCATCTCTGAGGCATTATGTCCACGGTTTTGGTGGAACTGGCCAAAGAATTCTGGCAATTCTGCCTGGATCACATTATCTCGGTTCAGGCGGAATACATTCCAGGCATGTCCAACATAGTGGTAGATTGTAACTCCAGATTTTATTAAGGACACAGAGGCTAGTGTTATCCCACCCTATACAGGTACGTTGCGCCCTCCCTTATATGTTTTTCTGAAGAGGTTATTACACGGTCTTATGATTTTGCTGTGTATTTACCTAATTGATGGTTCTATTATGATACTATTCTGTTCATATTGGATATTTTAGTATATTTAATAATGCATTATAGATGTATTTCAAAATCCGGAAACACATTTTAACAGTTTGTTTCTCTGTTCCTTTTAGCTTCCTAACTGGACTTGGCACAGTTTTGCATTCGTTCCTTCCTTGTTCCAACAGAGGATCTCGTCTTCCATGAAATACTGGTGTCATCCACCTATGGAGTTGCTGTTTCTTCTTCACGTTTGACCATATGTTTTCTTAGATTTAGATGTTCGTCGGCATCATCAATAAAGAGTAGTGGCTTAGGGTCACATGGGGGCTTATGGTGCAAGGAACATTCTTATTGGATGTCATGTTGTTAACCCTTTGAGGGTGTATGTTTGAATTTTTGCTATGAATATTACAGTATCCTTTATTTGCTGCTGAGGAATAAAGAAAGATATAAAGCATAATATGAGCCTCCATGTCCTTAATAAAATCATGACTTTATGTCATGAAATTAGTAAAATCCGATAATTTCCTTTCTCACTTGGTTCAACCAGCATTAAGCCAGTCCAAGAGCATACATCCATATATTCAACAGACAACAATACAGGTAGGTGGATTGAACTCGTAAGGTTTTCAGTAATACTTAGTTAATATAATGGGCCACAGATACTAATAATAAGTAGATGCATAAAGGATGTGTTTAGCGGCAAACAGGGCCGTCTTTAATATTGATTGGGCCCTGGGCAATCATTTGCTTGGGCCCCCTGGACCGACTCCCTGGCATGCAATCACGCCTTCCACCCCAACGCAGTGGTGGAACTAAAGTAGAAAGAGCCCTGGTTCAAGAATTTCATTGGGCCCCCAATCACAAGGTTGGAAAGAAGGTAGAACACTATCTGTTATGCAACTCCAGCAATGCTTTGACAGCTGGGGCTCTACCAATTTCCCATGCTTGCAGGGTTGTATTTAGCACTGTGTTTTTTGTGTTTGAATGTAAGCATGTTTTTGTATGGAGTATGTTTGTGTGAATGTGTTTGTATGTGGTATTTGAATGCAAGCGTGCATTTAAGTGTAATGCTGGTTTTTGAATGTAGGGGTGTGTTTATAAATAATTTTAGTGTTTAACACAGAGGTGTGTTTGTATGAAGTGTTGACATTTCAAAGCAGGACTGTGTTTGTATGTAATGTTGAAGTTTGAATGGAGGGGTGTATTTGTATTTAATGTTGGTCGTCAGATGCTCAGACACACAGGTACACACGCTGACACACATGCAGATACACACACTGACTACATACAGATACGCACACAGATACACACACAGACACACACAGATACACAGACAGATAAACTGAGACATACTGACACACAAAAATACATACAATGATAGATATACCGAGACATACACTGATACATACTATCACACAGGCACATACAATGACAAACATACTGACATACAGATACATATACTGACACACACACAGGTACAAACACAAACAGGCACATATACAGACATACTGACACACACACACAGTATGTATATCAGCGTATGTGGCTGTGTGTGTGTGTGTGTCTGTATATGTGCCTGTGTGTGTGTGTGTGTGTGTTTCATTATATCTATCAGTGTATGTGCCTGTGTGTGTGTCAGTATGTCTGTATATGTGCCTGTGTGGGTGTCAGTATGTCTATCAGTGTATGTGCCTGTGTGTGTGTGTGTGTCAGAATGTCTGTCAGTGTATGTATCTGTGTGTCAGTATGTTTGTCATTGTATGTGCCTGTGTGTGTCAGTATGTCTATCAGTGTGCCTGTGTGTGTGTCCGTATGTCTGTATATGTGCCTGTGTCAGTATGTATATCAGTGTATATGCCTGACACACACATACACACACCAGGTACATACACACACACACACACACAGACAGACACACTGGTAGACATACTGACACACAGGCACATACACTGGCAGACATACTGACACACACAGACACATACACTGATAGGCATACTGACACACACACGGGCACATACAATGTCAGACATACTGACACACACAGACACATACACTGTCAGACATACTGACACACAGACTTACTGACACACACAGATACATACACTGTCAGACATACTGACACACACACACAGACATACACACACACACACAGATACATGGACAGACATACTGACATACATGTAAAATTTACATTTTGAAGCCCACCCTCAAGTTTCCTACCTTTTGCTGCAGGGTGGCATCCATGGGGGCCAGTGTGCTGCCTGAGGCTGATCCGAGTGAGGAGCCATCCTCACTGCCTCCTCCTCCTCCTCCTCCTCCTCCTCCTCCTCCTCCTGGCCGTCCCGCTCCTTCTGCCCTCTCCGCGCAGCAGCTCTCTTTATGGGAGGAAGTGACTCTCGGCTGTCACTTCCTCCCAGCACTGCCGAAAAGCAGGGGCCCAGTCGTGCTGTTAAAGGGCCACAGCGCCTGACCGGGCCCCTGCTGGTACAAGCCCACTGGGTGGTCCTAAGTTCATGGGCCACCTGGTGGGAATCCTTACAGTGCGGGGCCCGCCTAAATCGTCTGGGAACATTTTTTTTTTTGTTGAGGGCAGCGGGGCCCACGGGACAGCTGCCTTGGGCCCCCAGGAGTAACTGGGCCCGGGGCAGCTGCCCCGTTTGCCCCGCGTTAAAGACGGCCCTGGCGGCAAACTCTAGAAACGTATGATACAGTTCAGTAATGGAAATGCTTGGTCCAAAAAGTCCTGTTAAGGTGGGAAATTAACAATTAAACCAATTATTATAAATCTCTCATTTTAACAGAGGAAAGCAATAGCACTGAACGAATGGGCACCAGAGTTTCAGAATAATATTTTGCATATTGCTCTGTGGTACACAGCAACACAGCAGTTCACATGGTTAGTTTGATAGCCCTTCATTAAATACTAGAAAATGTGTCCTAACTTACCTTAATTTTCTTTTCCCTGTCCTTGGCCACGGTAGCACTGACTATAAAGGTTAAGTCCTCCCCCACAGAATTGGACAGGAATTAATAAAAGAAGCACATTTCCTCCCTTGATGCCCTCATTCTAATGTATTTCCCCTTTGCTTGCTTCTGACTGGGTAATCATTCCCCGTCTTGTGTTAAACATGGCTCCCAGACAGTGGTGGTACTAAAGAAGAGAGGGACCTGGTGCATGAATTTATTTGGGCCCCCTTTTGCAAGGATGACCAAAAAGATCCCAATCTGTTGTACAACTCCCACAATGCTATGCTGGATGGATTATACCATTTGCCCATCATTGCAGGGTTGTATTTAGCAAGTGAGCAGTGTGTTAGAATGTAAGCATGTGTTTGTATGGAGTATGTTACTGTAGAATATTACATATTCTATATGTTCCTATTCAAATACATATTAAGGTGTGGCTGTCTAATGGGTTAAAAAGAACAGATGGAGTTTGCTATTCTGTACCATGAGGACTCTGGAATGTGCTGTATAGAGAGATTGGGGGTAGGGTCCTTATATGGGGAGTTTCCTTATGTGGCCAGAGAATTAAACATTAATTCATTAATTAAACATTATGACGTAATTTTGCCTATAAAGGAAGAGGACAAGCAACTTACACCCTAAATGGTAGTGAATTAGACCACATTCTCTTCCTCCTACGATCTGCTCTCCTCTCCTGATGTGTTCCTGACTTGCTGATACAAAGACGACTACTTAAGATCTCTCACTCTCTGTAACGTCGTTAAGAAGTACCATCTGTTAAGTATATTATTGTTAGCATTTGAAGTAGAATAAATGCATATTTTTTATAAACAACGTCAGATTGCGTATTAGTTCTTTTCATTAATATTGACGTATATTAATGTTGCGAGCCTTTGACCCAAGAAGAAATATATATATATTGTGATAAAGTGAAGGCAGAGAGGCCTTTAACATTTAACCCCAGGGGAAGTACGTGTTGTATGTGTGGTGTGCAACACAAAGCTACATTTAGTTATGGGCCCCTGGGGTGGAGCATTTGGAGAGCAGGGTGGGCCAATGCTCCACTCCTCAGTTTATACACAACTGGGAGAAATAAGTTCCAGGCCAGAGTTTTTTGGAACTGTCTCCAACCCACTGCTCAGCTGCAGATAATCAGCTGTAGCAGTGGGAATAAACCCCTCCCTGCTAGGCAGGTAAAGGGAGATTGCTGGCTTCCTCCCTGGAAGCAGGTAGGAGAGAGGCTGTTCTCTCCTGAGAGAGTCAAGGAGATTGAGCACTGGGAGTGCAGAAGGAAAGCAGTCAAGGCTGGCTTGGAGCACTGGGAGTGCAGAAGGAAAGCAGAAGGTGGCTTGGAGCACTGGGAGTGCAGAAGGAAGCAGTTAAGGCTGGCTTGGAGCACTGGGAGTGCAGAAAGGAAAGCAGTTAAGGCTGGCTTGGAGCACTGGGAGTGCAGAAAGGAAAGCAGTCAAGGCTGGCTTGGAGCACTGGGAGTGCAGAAAGGAAAGCAGTTAAGGCTGGCTTGGAGCACTGGGAGTGTAGAAAGGAAAGCAACAGGCTGACTTAGCACTGGAGTGCAGAGAGCTGACAAAGACACTAGGTTGGTGAAACCAATATTGTTTTGTTCTAGTTTAACCTCTGAGAGATAGGGAACCTGAAGTTAGTAAGTGCTCAGACGAGCTAGGTTTTTGTTTATAGGGATTTGTGTTATATTTATGTTTTCATTTGCTGCTGTCTCCTGTGTGGACTTACAAATAAAGTGCCTGGATTATATGAAAATAAAAGGACTGTGCCTGTTGTTTACCCTAGAGGACCGTGCTACCTGCAGACAAGGATCACAATATATAAAAGACTTATTCAACAAAATAAACACAGACCAGGTATAACAGTTACATAGTTACATAGCTGAAAAGAGACTTGTGTCCATCAAGTTCAACCTTCCTCACATATATTTTTGATCCAAAAGAAGGCAACAAACTAGGAAAAAATTCCTTCTTGACCCCAAAGTAGCAGTCAGATGTCTCCTTGGATCAAGCAGCTATTACCCCACTAATTAGAAATTATATCCCTATATGTTAAGTTTTTGCAAGTATTTATCCAATTGCAGTTTAAAGGGACACTATAGTCACCTGAACAACTACAGCTTAATGTAGTTGTTCAGGTGAGATCTATAGCTCCCTGCAGGCAATCTAATGTAAACACTGTATTTTCAGAGAAAATACAGTGTTTACATTGATTGATAGGAATACCTCCAGTGGCCGTCATTCAGACGGTCACCAGAGGGACTTCCTATCATGCAGGGCCCTAAAAAGGCCTTGTACACGTCAGATGTATTAAAATACGTCTGACGTGTGCAGGAGAGAGAAGGCAATGTGTGCGCAAAAGGGAGCAATTACTCTTCCAAACGGAAGCGTCTGATTGCTCGCGCCCGCCTATTTCATCATTTTGACGAAATAGGGGGCGCGGCT